GCCATCACTCTCCAGGCAGAACTGGACTATGAGGATCAGGTCACGTATACGTTGGCTATCACTGCCAAGGACAATGGGATCCCCCAGAAGGCGGACACCACATATGTTGAAATCATGGTGAATGACGTTAATGACAATGCCCCCCAGTTTGTCAGCCCTCATTACCAGGGCATGATCTCTGAGGATGCACCTCCCTTCACCAGTGTGCTCCAGATCTCTGCCACCGACCGGGATGCGCACACCAACGGGCGAGTGCAGTACACCTTCCAGAACGGGGAGGATGGGGATGGAGACTTCACCATCGAGCCCACCTCGGGGATCATTCGCACTGTGCGCAGGCTGGACCGCGAGAACGTTCCCGTCTATGAACTGACTGCCTACGCTGTGGACAGGGGCATCCCTCCTCAGCGAACTCCTGTCCACATCCAGGTTACCATTCAGGATGTGAATGACAATGCCCCTGTCTTTCCTGCTGAAGAGTTTGAAGTCTTGGTTAAGGAGAACAGCATCGTAGGCTCTGTGGTGGCCCAGATCACAGCTGTTGACCCGGATGAGGGACCCAATGCCCAGATCATGTACCAAATTGTGGAAGGCAACATCCCTGAGATATTCCAGATGGACATCTTTTCTGGGGAGCTCACAGCCTTGATCGACTTGGATTATGAGACAAAATCTGAATATGTGATTGTAGTGCAGGCCACCTCTGCCCCTCTGGTCAGCAGAGCTACAGTCCACATCAAACTCATTGACCAGAATGACAACAGCCCTGTTCTGAAGAACTTCCAAATCCTGTTCAATAACTACGTGTCCAATAAGTCCAACACCTTCCCCTCGGGGGTCATAGGGAAGGTCCCAGCATATGACCCAGATGCATCTGACCGCCTCTTCTACACCTTTGAGCGGGGAAATGAACTACACTTGTTGATTGTAAATCAGTCGAGCGGGGAGCTGAGGCTGAGCCGTAAGCTGGACACAACCGTCCGCTTGTGGCCTCCATGCTGATGACTGTCACAGGTAGGGAGTGAAAATCATTAATTAATTCAATACAGTACCTTTGAGGGGCTCTGTGAGGTCCCTCTGGGGCAGTCCATTGTGCTTTGGGGCTTGGGTTGGGGACTGGTAACAAGATTTGGATTCAGAGTCCATTCCAGTCAGAGAATAGTGCTGGAGTGATCTGAAGGGTGGTATGGGAGGCAGGCTGTAAAGGGGCCAAGGCTGGAAATGGTCTGCAAGAACAAAGCATCGTTACTGAGCTCACTTCTGGCTGAGTGAGATCACTTCTGGCTGCTAGTGAGGCACCTTTAGAGGTGCTGTGGCAGCCAGTGTTGTGTGCCATAGGGTGCTGGCTCAGGAACGAGGCGGTTCCCAGGGTGGCCAAGCTGCTGGCCCAGGGGCTGGTACACTGCTTTGCTCCCAAGCCGGGGTGGCTCGTCCCTCTGCCGGGACTGAGTGCTTCCCTGGCTCTGCACAGGAGGGAGGGATTGAGCTCAGTGCAGAAGGAACCCTCTTAAACACCCGTCTGCCTGTAGCAAACAGTTCAGTCCAGATTCTGGCTGTGGCACCTGCCAACACTTGCTTTGTGAGCAGCTTCTAAAGCCTAGTACCGCCTTTCTGCAGCCAACTTCGGGTTGCAGGGGACAGCTGTGACAAACCTGAGGGCAGTGCCTGGAACTCTTGCATAGAGTGTGTTGTTGGAGTATCCAAATGCAGATGCTAGCTGTA